TATTTATGGTGAGTCCTTGGTAGGGTGGGTGGTGAGGTTGTTGAGGTGGGGGTGGGTGGGGGGACCGTAGCGTGTCAGCTATTGAAAAGGAGGAATGTGAGAAAGCATTATTGCCCGCACTTCACGTGAATGGAGCAGGGGTTAAAGAAATGACAGCGTACAGTGGGTGGTATGGCCTCAGCACGGCCCAGGAGGAAATGGAATGAGAAAGTGCAGTCAGGCAGACCACTCATTCACCATGACAAATGGGGGGGAGGCCTAGGCCAAGGGGATACCTGATACCCCACGGTGGGGCTGTGTGCACCTGCCTGGGCTTCATGTGCACCAAGCTGGAAACAAACCTCAACCACTTGTAGCGGGCAGCACACCTCAGCTGTTTACACAAGGACAAAAGGCGAAATGGGAAGCTAACAAGCAGGTGTTGATATTAAAGTAAAATTTGACTCTTGATTTCATTTATTTATTTATTTATTTACTTACTTACTTAATACAGTTTTTGGGTAATGCTAATTTTTAAACAATGCTACACATTATGTCGCCATAAAAACGTGTTTTAATGGGTTTATTCTAAAGTTAATATGAACATCTGTCAAAAATGACTTTACTTTTACKTCTAAGTTACTGAAGGGGATGTGTATGATAAAAAAAGAAAAAAAAAACAAATCAAAAAATTGGTACTGAGGCAAATATGAAGTGGGGAGCATGTGAAAAACTGGAAATTAAACAAGAAAAAGTGGTATTAGATAAAAAAAAAAAAAAAAAAAAAAAAAACACCAGTCAGATAATTGGTGATTGTGTTTTATTTGATTTAATTTTAATCAGTCTATTTTAAACAAATACCATATAAATCCTCCTGCATCTCAAGAATCAATGTTCTCYACAAACGTTAATAAGTGTTTAAAAACAAGGTCATATGTTTCACATCATGAGGTTCTAAATTGCAGTGTGTGTCAAATTCCAGTTGAATATTCAATTTTTGGGAAGTGTTTGGATTTAGAGCGGTGCCACTATAATCCAATTGTGTGTGAGGAGAGAACAACAGATAAACATAAACAGAAGAGAAACAGTCTTCTGTTCATACACATGGTTCAGGAAGTAGACGGCGCCTCTGAGCTGTCACTCTGCCTCCAGTGTCCAGGAAAGAGTTTGGACCATTTCAACACTGGATAGTGTGTGGTGTCAGGATGCAATGCAGCACAACATTAAAGCATTCAAAGCATTCAGCTTTCTTTACTTTTTCAGTCCTTAGTTTGGAGTTTTGAAGAACTGCAGATTAACTGTTACAGAGCAGACTCCGCTTCGATGAAACTTATTTCTAACAGATGACAGAAAAATAAGTTGCTTTTGATGATTTTTTTTAAATAAAATGATTCAAATTTCCTCCTGTTTTTGCAGATAATATTGCCAATACTGAAAAGAAAAAAAAAACTTTTTTACTCACTTTAAAACAAAACTTTGAAACAGTTTTATTTTTAGGTGAGAGAAGTCGTTCCCAGAGTGTAAAGCATCACATTGCATTCAGTTTAGGAACAAATTTACTTTTCAAGTTCACTGATGAATTAATGCACTTTTATTTTCCAGTAGACTTTTGTTTCCCCCACTTACCGCATAAATTATAGATGAATAAAATAAATTTTACAACTAGCTCCTAAGGTTTAGAACTCTAAACTATTTTACAGCTTTTATTAGTTGGTGGTTGCATGTTTGGTCCAACAATTCTGCAGATATTTGCATGATAGGTCAGTTTTAAAAACTTTAAACACTTTATATA